GTGACACAATAACAACACAATAACCTGATTATAGTCTAATAGGACTTCAATGGTGACATGCTGGCATGTTCTCCAATTGTCTTTGACCACTTTTTGTTTTTCACATGAAGGTTCTGACCCTCACTGGTCTGAATATCTTTAAAACATGTACACGGTTTAGATGTATCTTTTTATGTACTATTTAATGTCTGTACAGTAGTATTTCAATACTAAAGCATCAAGCGGTATCAAATTATAATGTTATTAAAGGGCTTGCCCACTGTGGCTACACATGGAGTGCAGATTTACTCCACCTCGTGTTCCCTTTTCTGTACTCAGTAAATCAGTTTGGGGCTTACTGGATATTAGCTGACCAACTGAGCGAAGTAAGGGGCAGACTGCCGGGTCGACCCACCCCATTGACCATTCAGCGCTTGTGTCTATCAGAGTGCAGAGCTCCAACAGCTGACCGAACAGAGCCGCTAATGACTGCCAGGAGAGAAGTGAAAGAAGATACAACCATCCAAGCCCCAAGTTTCCCATCTGAGTAACAATTTAACACTCAAACTCAAAGGGCCACATAGGTGGCTTGACTTTGGGATCCAGTCAAAGCAAACAAAGACGGTGTAAGTGGAAAAAAATAAACCAATTTCAGCCTTAATTGAGTAAACAAGATTGTTTTCTTTCCAATCAGCATCAGTCGTAACTTGGCCTGGGAAGATTCCTAGAAAGCAGAGGCATCGTCTAGCTAGTAAACCATTACACAGGAGTCCTTCTACTAGATTTAATATGGGGCTAATTCAATTACCCTCTAAGCCTCAATAATATTTTGTTTTCAAGATTGAATGAACCAGTTGTTCCTGGAGGTTTTAGGGGTATTGGTCACTCACCGTTGCCAATAAAATAACTTTTTTTCTTGGTTAATGAGGTGGAAAATGGGCAAAATGCAGTTACTCGAATCAGTCATACTGGTCTAGAGACTTCTAGAACATACATGGTAAAAAGCATCGAATGGCTTTAGGATTACCCATTTTATGGCGTTGGATGAAGAGGTTTGCCCTGCAACCAGAGGGTTGTCGGTTCAAGCCCGGCTCTGGCTTTCAGTGTCGCAAGACAGTTCACCTGCATTGTCTACTGATGGTGGTCGGAGGGCCCGGTGGCGCCTTCGAGCTACATTGTAGCCTTGCTTCTGTAAGCTACAATGTAGCTCGCCACCATCAGTGTGTGAATGTGAGCATGAATGGGTGCATGACTGAATGTAGTGTAAAGCGCTTTGGTCAAGTCCTCTGACTTAAAAAAGCGCTATATACTGTAAGTACAGGCCATTTACCATTTACCATGAATTGTACTGCACAAAGGGACTTGCTTTCCATTACAGCTAGCTCCATCCATCTTTCTATCAACTCTGCAAAGCTTTCCTGTTCTGAAGATAAGCATACCCACAGCATGATACTGCAGGATGGATTCAGAGTTAGGCACAGTGGTACTTTTATGTAGAACAGAAAGTTCGATCTCATTGGTCCAGAGAACCTTCTTCCACATCTCTACTGTATCTTTCCCACCAAGCTTGTAAAAAAAAAAGAAAAGACCTCTTATAGCTCTCTAAGAGTAAAGGCTCTTTCCCTTCCATTCTTCAACTACTGCTTACATTTCATTGGTCTTCACGACCCTCTTTGTTCTTTAACAGACCTCTGAGGCCCTCAGAGTATTTTAACTTTGAAATAAAGTAGAAGGCCTTGGATGCTCAAACCTGTATCTAAGAATACAGATACACACTTGTATGTCTACATTTTCCTTCCACTTTACAATTATGCAGTCCTTTGCACGGGCCTACCAAATAAAACTCCATGAAACACAATGAAGTTTATATCATGGCACTGTTAAAAATGGTGCATCAAATCACATTTGCAAGTTATTCTACTATCAACATATTGCCTACCAAGCCTAATTGCTGGTATAGCAGCACAATTTGAAATGACATATCCTTAAGTAGTTGAAGTAGCTTTTTGATATTTATCTGATGAGCTTTTGAAAACCAGGGCCATTTGTCGAAACGGCGACAAATGGCTGCAAAATCTAAGGCAAAATCTAAAGTAAAAAAACTCTAATTTCATTTCTATATATTGATTATATTAATACATCCATTCATACATCCATTTTCTAGCATGCTTATCCCAAGTAGGGACGCGATGGGTGCTGGTACCTATCTCCAGCAGTTAATGGGCGAGAGGAAAGGTACACCCTGGACAGGTCGCAAGTCCATCACAGGGCAACACAGAGACAAACAACCAGTCACGCAAACACTCACACCTAAGGAGAATCTAGAGAAGCCAATTAACCTAACACTCATGTTTTTGGACTGTGGGAGGAAGCCGGAGTACCCGAAGAGAACCCACGCATGCTCAGGAAGAACATGCAAACTCCATGTAGAAAGACCCCGGGCCGGCAATCGAGCCTAGAACCTTCTTACTGCAAGGGATTTTATTAATCAATATTCAAAATATTACAAAATCTGATGTATGGCAGTCTGCTTCTGTGAGTCTGCTGAAAGCAGGTCTGGCTACAATGAAGCTTTCCACCATCAGCGTGTGAAGTGTAAATGCCTGAATGCAGTGTAAAATGCTTAAGGTTCCTTGGACTTTATAAGGCTATATATCAGTATATAAGCCATTTAACATATAGCATCTGCAAGAAGTTAAGACTACCTTCATACCTGTTGACAACACGCTGAGTGTAGGGAGCCAGTGAAGTAAGGAGAACAGTGTTTGATATTGTGATTTAGTTCCAGGCTTGGTTGTGACTGTGTTCCTCTGATGCTGAGAACATCTAAATTTAGACACACCTCCCATCTTCTTTTTTTACATCCTTAGCTTCTCCTTGCCTCTTCTTGCAAACTCTCCCCTCCTCTGCGCTCTCCCCAGCACCACAAACATAGAGACACGGAAGCCCCTGTTGTGAAGATATTGACAGCTTTGTCTGCGTCAGACAAGAATCAGCTGTGCCTGAACGCAGCGAGTCCTTCATATGTCTGCATGAATCTATATCAGGAGATTGCCTCTTCAGAAATAGGCAATATAGTTTATTCATAAAAATAAAATTTTCTATAAAAAAAAAATGCGACTCCTACACTTTGTCAGGAAACCCGGCATAGCTAAGCCCAATGTTTCATAAGTTACAGCAAAAAAAAATAAATAAAAATAACATTATTTAAAGGAGATTTAAACATGGTACAAACTAATGAGGTTAATGCCAAGAATCTTGATGTCTTGATTCAATACAATCAACTATTTTTAATTTCAATTCTATTTGAAAACAATAAATATTTGACTTTTTTTTTTCTAAAACTTATTTTCTTTTCCTGCTTAGTTCATACAAATTTCATTAGTGATGGTTATGCTGGAACATTTTAGGTAGTCTTTTAGATATTCTAATGACGATATAATGTTTTATCTGTTTGCTTAAAGTGAAACTAATCCTCTTATTTTTACAATTTCAGGTAAGCTTGTTTATTTATGCAATTTTTAGCCTAAAACTCTCTTAGTGCTGCCCTCTGTAGGTTGAAGAGTTGTTACTGCGCTCAAATTCTCCTATTGATTAAAACCGAACAGTGTGGTATTTGCCCTACATTCAGGTATAATGGTACATTTAATTTACCACTGAACTTTTAATGTCTTAATATCTGTCACTTTTCTCTTACGCGTATGAAGTCCCTCCGCTCATATCTAACCTTCGCTAAATTTCTTAGTGTCTCTGAAACCAAAATAGTGAAGCTGAAATATTTTTTTACCACTGTTTAATTTCTGCTCTTGTTATGATTACGGCTGAAACAATTTACCTAATTAATTGTGATTAATAGATTATTGAAAGAACTGTCAGCTAATTTAGCAATTTATTAATCATTAACTGTAGCATAGAGACTATAAAATATGCTGTGAGCTCACAGATCAACCCTCTTAGAGCAGAAAATATACCAAAATTATGCCAAAAAAAATCTTCTTTAAGGAACCTTTTGGAATTAGATTATTAATCGATTAAGCAAACTAATTAATTAGTTTAAGCCCTAATTATGATCATGCTATGCTGTAGATTTATGTTTGCATTTTCTGCTTAAACACCATGATTCCATTACTCCTGTTCATTCTGCTGTGAAAATCCATAACCACATTCTTTCACAATAAGACAATAGGTCTAACTAAATAAGAAGTGAGTCTGTCCAGTAAACAAAAGCATTGCATATCTAGAAGGATAAAGCATTAGACAGGTAATGTTTGTAGACAAGCAGAAAACAATGCAGCCTTTGCAGTCAGACCAGAACCATGACATGAAAGGAAGGCGAGGAAGATGATCAACTTCACTCTTTTTTATTAACACTCTGTAATAAAAAAAAAAACAACAACATTTTGCTCCTCAGGGTTCTGGCTCTCTGTTGGCCCCACCTCACAACCTCAACTCCCACTGTGTGGCATGTTATCCATTTAAATACAGCAGGAAAAAAAAACTGGCTCATTGTTCAACACAGAGGCGCAAACTGAGAAGCACTTTTGTTGCTGCTACACAGGATCTGTAATTATACCCTATAGGGGACATATTAGAACATGGAGCCACACTCACAATGCATGCTGGCTGCCACATGCCAGAGTTAGACACACTGTAGAGCAAACAAAAGAATTGCAGTTTCTTAAAAAGCAACAAAAGTAGAAATTGCTTTAGTATACATATAAATACCAGTTTTACCATAATTTTTTTTAAAAAGCCTCTATTATATTATGATGTAGCATTTTATGCAGTTTAAGCCAGACAATAATTATCCAAACCTCTGAGGAAATGGAAATGTCTTTTTCTTTCTAATCTAAATCTGCCTTATTTCAAATATTTGTCCGTATAAAATATATTCAAACAGGGAACTCAAGTAAACTGATTTTAAATGATTAGAAAGAGGAAAATATTGGAAAATGACTTCTCCCCCTATAATGTAAATGCTGCAGACCCTCCGATTTATATTATTCCCCCAGTAAACTTACCTTGCTGGTTAAGTTGCTGTGTACTTCTGCTCCACTGTGACAACCCCACAATGGCCACCATCTTGGCACCCAGACTGGAGCGCCGCTTCTTATTCCCAGCCAATGACGCCGTATCCGGAGCTCCATTGCTGGGACTCTTTTCCAGGTTGTACATGGTCCCCGAGATGCTTGAGGAGCGCACCACGTTCCGTGCCGCCGCGCTCAACCCGCTGAGGCCACTTATCCCGCCCGGGCTGGGCACCTCTACAGAGCTGCTAAGCATCATGGTCCCGTTGAACCTTAGGATCGACGGGCTGGGAGAAAGGTGCCAGAGAGCTGGAACTGGGCTAAAGGAAGCAGAAAGACAGGGAAATGTCAATAATAAGAAGATTGTGGAAGTATATGCAAAGACAGTTGAAAAGAGTCAAAGTCTTTGAACATTCAGAAGTTGGGAAGGTTAAAACTCAAATGTCAGTAAGGGGGGACAGTACAGATGGATGAGGGCTGCTTTCTTGCTAAAATAAATACAGCCAGCCTAACACATACCCATGCACACAATAAATGTCAAGGCTGGCCTGCTGTTATGGGGTGACCCTGTCAGATGGTGTTTGTCTCGTATTTTTTTTACCCCCTTATTTTAACACTTGCTTTTGAAAAGCTTATCATAGTCACCACTATGCTGTAGAGCTACAGCCTAATACCACTGTAACCACGTACAAACAGATCCATTAACATATTTAAAGAGCTTGTCATCTTATTCTTGTACATACAGGCTATCTGACTTGTTTTAGCAGGAAAATTCCAGCTGCTTACGATAACTGGACTATTTTTAGGTTGTTCATCCAGCAACAAACTGAAAAATCAACACTTTTACAAATGAGTGATAACATTGACTGTTAGCAGGTTGCAATGAAAACAAAACCATTCAGTGTGGAAGTTAATAAAAAAAAGGAAAAGTCTCATAGATAGATATGTCTAAAATGAAATTGGCAGAGGAATGAAAGATGTAAATACCCACCTAAAATGTTGATATGTAATTTAATTATTAAAGATTAACTTTAAAAAGAATTCTGAATATGTTTTTGTGTCACTTGTTTGTTTTTATCTTGGTAGCCTTTTGGAAATGTTATACTTAGGTTAGATTAATCATTCTGTAGGACATACAGAAAGTGACTCAGTTACAGTCCCTTGCAAAAGTGTTCGGCTCCTTGAACTTCTCGACCTTTTGTCACATTTCAGGCTTCAAACATAAAGATATAAAACCGCAATTTTTTGTGAAGAATAAACAACAAGTGGGACACATTCATGAAGACATCCCAATGAGCACTGTGCAAGACATAATATTGAAACGGAAGGAGTATCAGACCACTCCCAAACTATAAAAATCTGGCCATCCCTCTAAATCTTCACATAAAACAAGAAGACTGTTCAGAGATGCAGCCTAGAGGCCCATGATCACTCTGGATGAACTGCAGAGATCTACAGCTGAGGTGGTAGACTGTCCATAGGACAACAATCAGTCGTATACTGCACAAATCTGGCCTTTATGGAAGAAAGAAGACGGGACGATGGATTTTGTCAAATATAGGAGCATTCTGGAAGAAAACCTGTTGGAGTCTGGAAAAAAGACCTAAGCCTGAGACAGAAATTTATCTTCCAACAAGACAATGATCTATAGCATAAGTAATGGCTACAATGGAATGGTTCACAAATTAACATATCCAGGTGTTAGAATGGCCAAGTCAAAGTCCAGATCTGAATCCAATCTAGAATCTGTAGAACAAACTGAAAACTGCTGTTCACAAACAATCTCCATCCAACCTGACTGAGCTCCAGCTGTTTTGTAGAAAGAAAGGGCAAAAATTTCTGTCTCTCCATGTGCAAAACTTATAGAGACAAACCCTAAGCAACCTGCAGCTATAATCTCAGCAAAAGGTGGCGCTACAATCTATTAACTCAAGGGGGCAGAATGATTTTGCACGCTCAATTATTCAGTTTTTATTTGTTAAAAAAGTCTAAAATATCCAATAATTTTCCTTCCGCTTTAAGATTTTGTTCCACTTGTTATTCATTCTTCACAAAACATTACAGTTTTATATCTTTATGTTTGAAGCCTGAAATGTTGCAAAAGGTTGAACAGTTGAAGGTGGCCAAATACTTTTTCAAGACGCTGTATGTGTTTTTTTTTTATTATTACTTCTTATTATATTTGTATTATATCTGCAGTAAATACAGCTAAACCAGCTTACATTATCGATCAATAATAAATTAGGCATTAATGAAAAGAGGCCTTTAAAAATGTACAAAATATGCACATGATCATAAAAATATATATACTATATAGTCTTTAAAGAATGTTTTTCTTCTTTTTTTTTTTTTTTACACAAGGAGGCATTGAGTCTGTAAACTGAGTTCCAACTGAAACTTAAATGTTTATACACACTCACAGAAATATTTTACCCAAACCTTAAAAATAATGTGATTTTATTACATATAAGAAACTCCACTTTACTTTTTTTTTAGGTAAGTTTAGCACAAACGTATTAGATAAACCACTCATTAATTAATATATATTAAAATACATAACTCATCAGGTTTATCTAATAATAAAGCATATTTACTCAAAAATAATACTAATTTATTTCAAATACATAATTTTGTTTTAATTGCATAATGATCAGATTACCTTTATTAAATTCAAACAATGCACTTTATGTGTTTGAAATGAATACATTTGTTGGTATTAATTTTAAGCAACACTAAATACATAAGCCTGATTATTATGTATTTCATATAAATGAGCTTTATTGTATGAATAAGTGAATAATAGGTGAAACATTAGTGTAGCACAGCCAAAGGCCACTCTAAACAAATAGGCTTTTTAATCTGTATTTAAAGAAATTGAGGGTTTCAGCACTTCAACAGTTTTCTGGGAGTTTGTTCCCAATTAGTGGAGCAGAAAAGCTAAAAGCTGCTTCTCCATGTTTGGTTCTGGGTATGCAGAGTTTGAGCCAGAAGACCTGAGTGGTCTGTGCAGTTGATACACTGACAACAAGTCTGTAATGTATTTTGGTGCTAAGCCGTTTAGTGATTTATAGACCAACAGAAGTATTTTAAAGTCTATTCTTTGATATATGGGAAGGGAGCGTAAGGACTGCAAGAGGCACTCCAAAAGCTCTTTATCTAAATAAACCTTCTGCAATTATCTTGCTTTCTAACTCATCTGTTATCTGTTTTCTTTTCTCTCCAATACAATCACGCGGATTAGGCTAAACTGACAGCCATTGGGCAAATTAAATATGTATGAGCCTTTTCAAATTATTTCTTCACTGTCGCTGCTTTTGCACATGACAATTTATTCTCGTTCCTCCAGCTTAGATGTCTCCCTTTTTTTTTCAAACAGCAAGTACTGTAGCAGCAGCTGCACTGTGTTTCATCACCCTATTAATAGAGGCTTTGCAAAATCTTTCTACTTCAACACACTGACACACTTAAGTATGCGACTAACAAAATAAATAATGCTTTGCTTGGGTGCAAACAAATACCTTTGTCTAAATGCTTAAGTTAGAAATGCTACGAGGAGAATGGTGACACGTGCACTGGGTTTGTTTTTATATGCACTTCAAAATCTGACCAGATATGAAGCACTTTTGCAGTGCAAAAGGCACACCTAGATATATTTTTATACTCAGTGGTGTCTATCTTCTATTGTGTAGATTAAGAAGCAGCAACTAATCAACAGTTGAGTAGAGCAGTTACAGTAGATAAAGTCATCAGGAAGGCCAGCAGTGCCCAAAGATGCATAAAAGCAGAAATGAGTAGCTCCTTTAGTGACAGAGAACTGCATCCTAGGTGCAAAGCTGAGCATTATTTCAGATCCTTCCTCCAAGCAGCTGTAAAACACTTAGACATTTCCAGTAGGGCTCTAAAAGTAAGCTAATGAAGAAATAATTCATTTCAGATTTTGTTTTTATATATCATGATAATTCTAGTGTTTTAAAAGAACCAACTAAGATGACCTGAAAGGTTACTATTAAATAGATAACAAAACATAGAACCTTTCACTTTAGCTGCATTTCCATTAAGGGAGTGGTGGCCTTGTGGTTAGGGCATTGCGCTTGGATCACAGCCCCACTCCCACAGACTGCCACTCTGGATCCCTGAGCAAGACCCTTAACCCCACACTGCCAGGGCGACCACAATGGCAGCCCCCTGTTCCCCAAGGGGATGGTTTAAATGGAGAGAGTTCATTTTAATGCTTTGTACTTGTGACAGTGTAATGACAATAAAGTTGAAAACCATCTCGATATCCTGCTAAATGCAAAGTTTTGTAATTTTTTTTATTTCTGTTAAATAACGAATACAATTAAAATTGCACGTGAATACGTTTGTTCACACGATAACCCTAAAAACAACAATGCAGTAGCAGATGTAAACACGGGATATATCCATATCCTGGCCACAGCTCTAGTGGGCGCCATCATCCTCAATCTACTGTACTTCTGATCTTCTTCGTCTTTTTACAAGGAAGCATGGTCCATTTGTAGATAATGTGTCTTGTGTGATGCATAAATAAATGTTTCCATCTCATTTTTGCGAAATTTAACCCAAATATTTGAGGGTTTTTTTCTTTTTTGCAGTGTTTCCATTTAGCGATTTATTATTGTTGTTATTACAACTTGTGCAATTTGATGGTTAAAGGAAACAAGCCAACAGACAACAGTAAAAAATTATCTTAAATGAAAATAACCGTGTTAGCTGGAATTAAATGCCTGCTTGAAAACATAAGGCTTAAGCTTGGATTTCAAAATTCCTAAATCTGTTGTGGAATGAAGGTGTATAGGAGGCTGCTTTCAGCGGGTCCGGCTGCTGCCACCAACAATGCCGGCTGACCTGCTTCTCAGAAAATCTAATAAAAATTGATTTAATGACCTCATCGATCTGCCATGTGATCAAATGTGTCCTGTCCAGCTTTATTTGCCACTATTTCAACATGTCAAATAATCAGACATTGACAGGTTTATATAAGTACCTACTTGCAGCCATTTCGGAATTCAGAAAGAATAACACACTTTTGCTTTACTTAAATATAAAATGTAAAATGCTAAGTGTTTTGTTTCTTTGTTTAAGGCTGTTAGCTTTCTCCATTATGTCATATTTATAGGGAAAAAAAGACAAAAAGTATTAAAGAAGTTATGTTTATATTGTGCTAAATATTTGTCCACCACTGAATAAAAGTTTTTAAAAAAAATATTAGGATCTATCTACTTGTAAAGCCAAATAATACAGCCTTAAAAGAAGATTGGCTGAATTTGAAACCTTGTCTACAAGTTTAAAAAAATAAATA